GAGCCACAGTCGCAGTGGCAGAGGCCCTTCGGAGAAACGCAAATGGCTTCATGGCTTTGGTGTTTGGTTAACTTTTCTCAGTTCAATTGAGCTTGTGTGAGGGAGTGAAGAGTCAAGCGTATAAAAAGGGATGCACTTCCCAAGCGCAACTTGTCACTTACGTCACCCTTCATGCTCAGTTCAACAAGTACTTGACAAGAGCCAATGTCTACAATATCTTGCCTAATTATGTCAGAAAAAAGAAACAAAAATCGCGCGACTTAACACGGGTCAGAACCCACCATCAGAAGATCGAGGAACACAGATGTCTGCAAACTGCGTTTAGAGCAATTAGGCAAGGGTGGAGCCCACCATCATGACTCTCTCGTAGGTTGTGCCCTTAAACATATTTAAAACGTCACTAAAAATCACAAACGGTTTTATATGATTGATCGAAACTGAGCTGTCTGATATAACGTGGTCGCCTACGGAGCAACCACGTACACCATCACTGCCTGCTCCCTTCCGGCCTTTCATTATTGGTGCCCTGTTTATTAATTCTCTAACGTAGCATAACATAAACATACTACTATACTAACACTCCTCTTTTAATTTAATTGAATAAATAAAAATTTAAATAAAAACTGACACATATTTGACGAAGACGAACATATGAGCCACCAACTATGGACTAAAGGATGTAGATTTGGCTACATGCCCTTTTCCTAGTTGGGGAGCTAGGGAACGATCTGCTGCAACAAGACCCTTTTGCATCGAAAAAAATAACAATATGGATTGGCAGGTACTTCCACATGGCATGCAGTGAGTCATGCACAGAAACAACAGCTTGTCTCCTTGTTTGCCACGTTCAAGAATCAGGATCTCCATTGCTTTCTTTCTGCTTTGTGCACCCAAAAGCAGGATTAATCTTTTTCTACCGCTCGCCGTCCTTTCCAAGTTGCAATGAACAGCATCAAATATGTTCTCTTTTTTCGGGGTTCAAGGAACCCCATCACATTCATAATTTGGCCGAAAGGCTTTCCTATAAACCTTTCCCATGAAGGAGCTTTACGGTAAGGTTTTTCACTGGGGTTACAGCTTATAAATTAGAGCTCTTTTCAAAAATGCCTCTCATGTTTTTAAAAATAATTTTTTTTATAATTTTAATTATTTTTAATCAAAATAAATTAATTTTAAATAAAATTACTTTTAATAAAATTGACTCATATATTTGAATTCGTACTTTAAATCAATTCATATTTTTTGAATTTTTCTTATCAGTCTATTCATTTTCAGAGTATTCTTCGTCAGAAAAAAAAAATCTTTAAGCTTTTTGAACATTTTGGAATGAGTGATTTTTGATGCACGAAGAAAAATCTTTCAGCATTTTGAGTATTTTAAGCATTTTGGAGTGATATTTAATACACGAAAATCTTTGAAAGTTTTGAACATTTTTAGTATTTGAGTGATTTTTGATACACGAAAAAAAAATTTTGAGTATTTTTCACTAAATAGGCATATTTGTTAATTATGATATTAAAAAAAATATGGTGTGCTATTTGAAATTGTTAATTTTATTAAATGAAATTTGATAGTTTTGGTTGTTTTTAAATATTGTGTAATCAGTTTTTAGATATTGAGTAATTGGTTGATAGGACATTACGTGATTGATTTTTAAGTATTACGTGATTAGTTGATAAGGCATTGTGTAACTTAAGCATTGCATGATTGATATTTAAATATTACATGACTAGTTAGTAAGGCATTGTGTAACTGATTTTTAGACATTGTGTGACTTGGGCATTGCCTAAAAATTAGTCACATAATGTTTACAACCTAGTCATACAATGCCTAAAAATGAGAGACGCAATGATTAAGTCTCGCAATACTTAAAAACTAGTGATACAACACTTAAAAACCAATACTACAATGCTTAACAACTAATTGATTTGCCTGCTCGCAATTAGGTTTAAAAATCAATACGCAATGATTAAGTCTCGCAATACCTAAAAACTAGTGATACAACACTTAAAAACCAATACTGTAATGCTTAACAACTAATTGATTTGCCTGCTCGCAGTTAGATTTAAGTTGCTAAAATCATACAGTGTTTTAATTTATAAATATGTCTAATCAATTTCAATTTTTCAGCTTTGAGATTCTATAGATATAAACCAATAAACCTAAGAATCTAAAACACATACCTTGATGATATTTTTGCTCTTTGGGATGACAAGAGAGCTCTGGATGGTGAGATAGAAAGTATTTAGTAAAAGAAAAATTGAAATTTAATTTAAAATTTTTATCTGAATGGTAAGATAGGGAAATTTAATTTATTTGAAATTGTTTAAAAGACATTGTTGTTAAGTCATATAAAAAATTTACTAAAAATAATTAAAATTACAATGAAAGACATTTTTGAATTGAGCTTATGAAAAAAATTATTTCTCACAATTTTCTCCATAAATTAAGTCATGTTATTTACTTTTCAAGGAGATTATTAAAAAGAGTGGAGTATTATTATAGTATGATTAAACTCAGACTTGAACTTAAGATTTAATAAGTTAAAGCTCTGGAAGACAACACCTCATCAATTGTTTAATACAAAATAGCATTATAGGTGGAGCATCCATGGCCAACGTGTAAGACCTTACTTCGTCGTTTCATATGTTTATGAACATACTTTTAGGATGAGGTTCAGTATTTGAGGTATGGAGAAATGATATTTTAAATACTAAAAAAATAAAATTAAAAGTATGGTTTTGAACTAAGTACCTCATCAGTTAATTTTAAATTTTGAATTAAAGACTTAATTCAAATAACCAATACTTTCTACAAATAATCAAATATTGTTATTCAAATAATCAAATAACCAAAAGCTTTTTTGGCAGGAGGAATCCAGGCAGCTTTTGGTTTCATAATATTGTTATTAATTTCTTTTTTCTTTACTTTTTCATTTTCTTTTCAAATAAAAAACTTCTGATTTGAAAGATTTGAATTAACTACTCAAATCTTGCCAAAAAAGCTTTTGGTCTTGGCTTTGGTAGGTAACATTTCTACAAATTTTTTTCCCCCTTAAGGGAATTATTCTTGTGGCATACATGAACCCATCCTGTACCTTGAACCTTGAGGCCTCAAATTTTCAATGCATATTTTTATTTAATTATTTATTTTTTGGAGGGATGTATATTTCAAAGGTAAAAGGAAATTAAAGAGGTGAAAAAGAGATTCAATTTGGTTTTCTTAATGTCAATGTTTAACAATGACAAAAGTTGTGATGAAATATATTTACTTTCATTTCCATTTATTATGGTTGCCCCAGCCATCTCCATTGATAAGGGGTTTAAAATATATTTTTTGCTTTCATTTGTTATCACAAGTTAAGAGTATAGTTTTACTTTAACTTAATTATTCATTGCGACGTTGGATAAGACCATTAATTTATTGGATTTATATCAAATTTATCATTATGCAATAATAAATGTTAAATTTTGTTATTATATTTCAATTGTGTAAAATATGTCTTTTTTTCTCTTATTTTAATTGATTCCTAGACAAAATAAACTATGAAATAATATATCAAAAAATTATCCATTTATATATAGTTTAAATAATTTTATAAAAACAAAATTGTAAAAGGAGTAGGGGAGAATGCCCATACGCTTGAAGATTTGCCCATGACCAAAAAGCGAAAATCATTTAAATATTTTATATTGTAAATGTAAATGAAGAAAATAAATAAACAAAAATTGACCGAACACCGCCCGACAGCGACTAATCAACATGTTGAGCCGAGCTATGTAGGACGGACCAAGTGACTGAATATGTCGAGCCGGACCAACACTTAATCGAGTGCCGCCGGTGGCTGTGCTTAGCCTTGATATCTAACCTGCATAGCTAGGGTGATAAGCACAAGCCACTGAGATGCGGGCATTCTTCCTACTCTTCTTTAAAACTTATTTAATTTGCATAATCAATATATTTCATAAATTACTCTTTTATCATTAATTTTTGTTCACAAATCAACCATAATTGAAGTATAAAAACAAAACTCCAAATTAAGCAAACAGTACAATGACAACTTGTAGTATTTATCCCTTAATTTAATATCTGGTCTTCCAATTGTGGTTACTCATTAATTTTTTCTTACCATAAATTTTCAAGGAAAAAAAAAAAACAAGGGTCAAGCTTTCATACATTATTTCTTTTCTTGAGATAATCTATTGAGTGACTTGAAATGAATTTACTGTACGGTTGTCTTTTAGCTCTATTTTGTTCACTCCAACCTTTTTTTTTTATTCATATTTTTGTTATGTACCTATAGGTTTTTTTTTTAATTTAATTCCCTTTGGAGTATTATAGATATTCCTCTTTATTTGTTTTGCCTATTTATGGTTGGAGATTATCTTTTAAATTTGCTTTAGATTCATTTCAATGTACTAAGAGCCCTTACAAATTGAATCAAGCAAACATAGTTCATTAAGTTGATTTTGTTTTATGAGTTTGAGTGTATTTCATGATTTTATATTTAATATATTATAAATGTATAATACTTATATAAAGCGTCAATTAATCAGAGTGTCATTTCATAAATACAAAAAATAAAAATTTCAAATCCATAAAAATAAATATTTTTAACATTTTGAATACTTTTTCTCAAATTTTAAATTTATTCATAACAAAATGACAGCATTTGATTTGTTAATAATGTATAAGTTATATACAAGAATAATACATCAAATTAAGTTAACATGGAATATCAAAGGCTTGCTAAAGTAGAAGGTACAGTGAATTTCCGATCAACATCACTTACCTAACGGAATGCGCTGCTTTAACCATTAGATCAACCTTTCCCTACTTTATGCTTCTATTATTCATTCCAGGGCATCCTGATTAGACAAGAAATGCAATGTCCAGTTGCATATCATATACCCTTAATTATAGTTTTAGCTAATTAGTTAATTTTTTTATCGTAATTTCAAGATAGACCAATTACAAAAACATAGGTACACGAGAGAAAATTTTCCAAGAACAGTGAGTTTTCTCATCATTTTAAGTTGATTTTATATATAGCATGGATACATATGCTTATAGATGCTAGAACAGTACCACTTTATTTTGTTTATAACGACCAAAGTGCAACTGGTATGTAAAATTTGTGGCCTTTGAAAAGCTAAAGGAGCAGTAATCAGACCCCAAAGGACAACGATACTATCTACACTGTAGAAAATCGGGTTTACGAAAAGGATCATTTATTCTAAGGTTTTCAAAAGCCTAAACAAACCGGCTGCTTCTCTAATCCTTGAAAACTCGATGCAGAAGGCTTGGACTTCAATAAAGAGATCCTTAACTGCAAATACCAAAACAACAAATCCAAACATGCTCAACTTTCAGCAACAAATAAATCACCCATATGACATACATATTCCAATAACAGAGCATTAAGAAAAGAAACGAAGAAATAACCAGACACTGATTACATGAAATGCGTGTTATTAATATAAAATCATAGATTAATATCTAAAGATGATAACTAGACAGATCAAATATTTGTCGGCGGTGAATGGTAACTCGTTAAGGAATTCTTCATAACCATGTACCACTATGCAATCACTTCCACGATAACAGCCAGTCAAATAGCAAACACACTCCTAGAACTACGACAAGACCACTCCAGAACTTGGAAGGAAAGAAACAACCATGAAGCAAACATCACTATTGGTATTCAAATTAATGGATTATTATTTTACATACTAGGGGAAGAGTTCAAAAACTTCACAGGCAGAGCTATAATTTTGCAACATACCCAATAGAGAAACATAAAAGGCCAGCATCACACACACACACACACACACACACGCAAAACCCTTATATCGTCATTATCAAACAACATTAGAGCATTTCTCCCATATTTATTTATTTCTTTTGACCAACTCTCGTATTTAATTTAGTTGCCAAATGGAATAACCTAATAATAAGCATCTAATCACGTCTGCATATATGTTCATGTTGTACATTAAATGACAAATACTATAACATCTTTGCCTACAAGAGAAATACCATACTCACCATCAATTATTCTGTTTCTGATTAAACTCTGTAAGAAAACACATACAAGTCGCACAAGCCTGTTCTGCATGTACTTATCCTGAAATTTAAAATCATTGTAACAGGTGATTCACAAACACATACATCATTATAGTACACACTTCAAAATGGAAAACAAATACATACCAACAAGAGCGCGCTAAGAAAACATCCAGTACTCATACAAAATCATATCATTCCGTACAAGGAGATACTAAAATTAGATCAAACCTTCAAATATTGAGCCAAAAAAAAAAATCAAACCTTCAAATAGAGAAAGGAAGTTTCTTAGTAGACCAGAAGAATCAAAGAAATCAACCAGTAGCTAAACTAAATGGGTCTCGATCAAGCGAAAAGCAATTATGAATCAAATGAAAAATAAGGTAAAAACTTGGAAGAAACACTTTGAATTTTTATGGTGAGGTAGATAAGAAAAACAACAATAAGAAAATGGGGGAAAAAAGAAAAAATTTAGAAAAGAGAAGAAAACAGGCAAATCAAACATGTTGTCAAATTATGAGCACAACAAGCTTAACGTCAATGGAGACATGGCATCCATATGACAATTGACAAAGCCGATTTCATAACCTTTCTAGCAGGTGACCCACAAATAGATTTGGTTGTGATGTATTTCTTAAAATTCTGGCTATTTGATTACCGAAATTAGAAGAATGGAATATTTAGTCAAGAGAATAAAACTCAAAAAGTAATTTTTGAAATTTGCACTTGTTAATAAGTTAAAAACGACATTTATATACCAGATAGAGAAGCTGTTAGTACTGCCCTCTTCCCTAATCCCTTCTACATGTAAAGACAAACAACACTGTCAGATGTCTACATAGAATATCTTGGAAAGGTTTAAGGGATTTTTCCATCAATTAACAAGGATTTCTCAAGGAACTTTAAATGGCCTGAGAAATGACTGCTACCATTTAGTAATCTTTTCCATACTAGTCTTGCCTTCCTCTGAATGATGTCTCTATACTCTTTCTTGAGGCCACATTCTTCACCCTGTCAAACACCTACATTGTCATCCTTTCTCTACCAACCATGTGATATCACCAACCCCTTAGAATTAATTCCAGAACCCCACACAAGTGCAGGAGACAGGTCCTAGATGAGTTTTTTTCATCTTCAATTACAAAGCATGTCCCACATATTACAATAACCAAACCATTCGGTTAAAAGAAAAACAAAAACAAAATGTACAACACACAGACACAAAATATATACATCTATACATCCAAACATATATTAATATATGGGAAGTACCTTGATGTTCTCGCAGGATGATATACAATTAGTTATGTACATACGTACAAATTCCTTTGGAAGTTCAACCGCAGTTGTGAGCCTGTTCACAACTTCCATGGAGTGTAGACTCATGTCCATGTTAACAAGAACTGTAAAATAGCTGGATACACAATTGCATGTGTATGTACACAGAAAAAGAAACTTCAGATGCTAGAAAGAGAATGTTGATTGCAATTTATTAAAGAGAAATTTCACTGATTCAGCAAACACATACTCAGAAATTTCAGGAGAATTTATCAACTTGGTCAGAACCTCTACAGCAATAAGCGGATTGTTTTCCACCAATTCCTGAATTATGGGGGTTAAATGTCAAGGGAGCAGTACTATATTACATATGTTAGACACCAAACTGTAGAATTCTCAAATAACATACAGGTAGCTTCCTTGGAGTCAATCCACAGTGATATACAAGCTTGGGGTCATTAGCTAGCTCCACCAGGACTTGCTGAACAGAAAAGACAAGTTCAGTCTGTTGTCCACCACAGAATCATCAGTGTACAAATAGTAAAAGCAAGTCAAGGTTAAATCATTAGCAAAATGTATTCATAATAGCATTTAATAAGCAACTTGTGCTTTTTTCTATGAATAAGATGAACTATGTTAAACAAGCAGCCACTTTACAGTAAGCCTATTTTAACATTTACTTTAGCGGAATCTAGATCCAAAAAACACAAACTCAATTTTTTATTTGGTTTACCTTTTAGACCAACTTATCCAAAGTTACTCAAATACACCAAGCACAAAATCAAACAAAACCTACTCGTTAACACTTCATATAAAGCCAGATATTGCTAGAACAGTTTTAATGTATCAAAACATGTATAACTCTTCCAATGAATGTAAATCAGAATAACTCACCATCTTGAATAGAGCCATCTGGCGTCAAATAGATTTAAATAAGAAAAGCTTCACCGTTTATTTAGGTAATTTACCAACAAAGGGATTCTTTTTGGACGGGACATGTAAGGATTTCTTCATGATAACACATAGAAATTGAGACATAATGCATCTCACTTAAACAGGTGAGATTACTTGGTACTACATTATTACTTAAGACAGACATCTTAAGTGGCAGATCCAACCATCAAACTCAAACTGGAGTGATCATACAGATTGTTATTGACTCGATTCCCTCTATCGGCTAATTCTTTGAATGTGTTGCTTTACATCATTGTAACAGAAGGGATAAAACCAAGATTAGTACCTAAATGTTCAATGTAGCATAAAAAATATAAGGTGATTCAATTAAAGATTACCTTGTCAATTTGGTTCAATTAAGGCAGATCAGTCATGAAATAGAGCACATTGATACACGTGCTATCAAGTCACATAAGTAGTGAAGAAATTAGAGGTTCTGCTAATGTGGTAAAAAAGTTAATCAAATATTACAGCACACGATTAGTCCAATCAATCACATAAATATGATTATTTAATTTGAAAATTACTCTTAAAACATTCGACAATTCACATTCACTCATCCTCTCTCACTTCTCTCAACTTTCCTGTCCTTGTGTCTCCAATGCCACCAATGGCAACCATTTGCGACCATAAAAGGCATAATATAAGTTCATGCAATTGATCAAGCCATATTTCTGATCACCTATTCATAATTTCTAGTTTTAGTTCCTTACTTCCTCGTGTTATTTAATTTGCCAACCAAAATCAATCTTAACATTTAGAGCAGCAAAATCTTAACCATATCTCATCACCATATAAAAGCAACTAAAATCAGCCATGTGGAGAAGGACGAGGAGAAGAAGACAA